GTGAGAAGATCGTGACCGTCTAGTTCGACCTTCACTATCACTGCCGCATGGCAGGCAGCGACGTGAGCCTAAGGACAAAGTTGAGTAAGTTAGATAGTGCTTCGACAAAGAAATACTCTCGAGGCCAGAAAACTTTAAATCATGCCTCACCTCGGCAGTGTAATCCAGTAGCCGTTGGATGGTCGAGCCTGGACGAATTTGGAAGCCTTCCTCCAGCAACGATCAAAGCAAGAGCTGGACATCTCCATCACCTTCTCCTTCGCCCCGGCACTGGAGGGTTCGACCTTGAACCTCATTTCAATGTTCGAGGTAACGCTCATTCTTGTCTCTGGATCATCATTGAGCGCAGCAAAACAACTCCCCCTCACATCGGCTCGGACCTCCTCCACCACGTCTTCGGAAGAGGTGATCTTCCTCTTCTTCTTTTTGGACCTCTTAGAAGGAGACCTTCTCCGAACCTTCCTGAGAGGGGAGATGTCAAGGATCTCACAATCCTGAGGAGCTCTAGGTCCTATTGCTCCCTGCGGAATGGCCGCTTCCTGGCGAGCTTCAGCCACCTTGACCTCGGTAGAAAGGTCGACCATGGTAGGGCTCAGCACCTCCTTCGACTTGGAGGTTTCCCCCTGGTGAGGGCGATTGCGCTTCACGTCTTGGGCAAATACGCAAACCATCGCTGTAAAGAGTCAAAACAACCTAAGCAAAATAATAAAAGATTTTAAAGCACCAAAAGGAGGTCCGAGTACAACGTACCGAGTTCAGAGTTGGGTCTGTGAGCTTCGGAAGGAACGAGCAGCGGATTTTAGTCGAGCAGTCCTGAAGCTAGAAGAAGCTTGTCGGTTAAGAGGGTGTCGATATTCTTGCTGCTCTTAAATTTATCCTTATAGAATTTCAAGATGTAAAACGTTGATTGAGAAAGCTTAGGGACAAGCTTGATGACAACTGTCAAATAAAAAAAACAAAGGTCAGAGTGTGAGAAGGAGCAGGGCTCGGAAGAATAGAAAGACTAAAATCCTTACCTAAGTTCCCAAACCTACAAGGGACGAGGTGGAAGGGCTGGTCGGACTCGTCCTTGGCCAACCATTCTCCAGAGGCATAGAACCACTTTCCGACCCATTTCTTTATGGAGCTCGGACCCTTGAGGATGCCTCCCGCACCTTTCCTAGTACACAGGTAATACCGCCCAGGTTTCCTGGAGATGCGCTTGACTTTGAAACAAGCTTGGAGCTGGTTAGTCCTAAGAAGTTGTAGCCCGTCTACCTCACGACATCTTAGCCAAAATAGCACGGCTAAGCTAAAGACAACACCTCATCCGTTGGGGGCCATTTGCTAGCCCAGTTCGGCAAGGAACTCTTGCACTAAAGGATGAACGGGTAGGCGAAAGCCATACTCGAACATCTTCAAGTACAAAGTTACACACCATTCTAGGAGGTCATCAACACGCTCCCCTTCCTTGGGAAACCTGAAGACAATGTTGTCTGAAATGCTATACCTCTTATAAAGAGGGCCGAGATAGTTCTCCGGCATTTGAGAAGGGAACTCTAAGCCTTGACCCGAGGTGGAGGTGTCACTATCATCCCCATCGTCCTCGGAAAATCTAAAGTTGTCTATTTCTTCCTCCAGCTCGAAATCTAACCTACTGGCAAATTCTTCTACAGAGTCGGCCTTCTTAGGTGAATGGCTCTGACTCCGACCTACACTATCGGATGAACTACTGCAAGACGAGCTAGAAGAACTAGAAGAGCTAGACATGACTTAAAACAGCAAAAGTAGATGTGCGAGACTAACCTAGGGTAAGTTCCGAGCTGCTCAAGTCGGACTCCAATATTATAGAAAGCGTAGAAAACGGATACGAATCTTGGGGCTATTCATAGTACATCGAAAATTAATCTCAACCACACACATGTCACAAAAAGGGCGATTCAGATCCTAAGGGAGTTCGAACGACGGGGGCACTTGAGTATGTGCACACTTGTCGATTCCATTTCCGAGGTTCTCCAACGGTAATATTTTGTATCACGAGCTCGGAAGTCGCCACGTTAGATGGTTTCTTGGAAAATAACTTCTCTGCTAGATCGAGCTCAAACCTAGCAGAAAGGGGGCCAATGTTTGGGGAAGGAAACCAGAGTGCTACGTGGAGGACTGTGATTCGCCAAAGGGAGTATACCCCAGATAAACTTTTGAGCAACTCCACCTCGGAACCTTCCGAGGTGGGTAACTCTGTCATTATTTATAATATCAGACCATACCAGTTTATGGCCGCTTCTCTATGGTAGCAGTTGTTGCTTCATTGAATTTGCTTATTTAATAGGACATTATTTAAGTTAAACTGTCTGGGTTCGATTTGCTCAACCTAACAAGTCTTACTTCAAATCCGACTAGGGTAACCGCTTGTCGCAACCCTTGTCGGGACCTAAACCTATAAATAGAAGACCTCATTTTACCATCAGGTATGAAATTTCTCCTTGAACTTAATATTTACTCCGAGCTGTTTACTGACTTGAGCGTCAGAGATTTTGCCCTTTTGTGCTGGTCTTCCAGTTGTGTTCTAAGTCGGAGGAAGGACCGAGTTCGAGCTTGACCAAGGTTTGACGTTGTGGAATTTTTTGCATAAACAGCTTACAGTATAATGAATAATTTGAAGTTACTTATATGGAGTCTATTTTGGATTTATGTTGCATATACGTTGTAATGTTAAATAATTCATTATTTGTTTCATGGACAACTTATACCATTATGAATGATGCAAAGTTATTAATATGAAGTATATTTTGTACCATCATGAATGATGCAAAGTTATTATGAATGATGCAAAGTTATTAATATGAAGTATATTTTAGATATATGCTGCATATTAACTCAAAAAAAAAAAAGATATATGCTGCGTGTCATGGTCATGCTCGTCCAGTGAATGTCGCCCATGGCCGCATGCCCATGATAGCCTCTTCCCTCGTACTTTTATGTCATGTATTTACTTTTGCATGTTATTTGACTCCTCGCCACTTTGCATGTTCACGCCTGCCAAAGGCAAAATGCTTTATAATCTACCTTAGAGGTACACCTAGTCTCCATCCTACCTTGTGTTGTATCTTGTCTTGCTGCTAATCTATTCTCTTGCATTCAAACATACAACAAGCTTTCCAAAATGTCTTCAAACGCTTTCCAAACATTTTTTCTCTAAACCCGTTTTCCAAAACCGTTTTCTCGAAAACGGGGGTGCAGATTGCGATATATAGTTGTGGTGCCACCGGCTATCCGATTTTCATTGGCTGACTTGTTCGTGGGCAAGAACAAGCGTCGCACAATCGCTTTGTGAGTCCTTTGAAAAGTGCGATTGTGACACTGCGTATACTTTATTTATTTTTTTATAATTTAAATGCAGCCATGATAGTACTTCTAAAATATCAAATCCAGACATTAAAATTAAAATTAATATTAGAATAACAAAGTGTACCTATAATGTGACAAAACGAAGAAAATTGAGGGAAATAATATGCTGAAAATATATTTGTTCACTACAGCCGGCAGAAAACGAAAAGCATTATTCAAATGTAGATGAAAAAGTATTGTAAAATATATATATATATATATATATATATATATATATATATATATTTGTAGATGAAAAAGAAATGGTAACGCCTGAAAACGCCAAACATAGAGGAAATAAATTGAGCTATTTCTGCGACAGTTTTCCTAGTTGAATATACATAACCTTGCAAAAAAAAGACTTAAAATCATCCAAACGATTAAATAAAAGGAAAATTATACTGGTAGCAAAATATTTTATTTATTTCAAAATATGTCACATGTTTTTAAAATTTTCAAATATAATAAAAAATTTTATTTATATCAGTTGTATATCCAATACCCATATCAATAGTATATCACTAGTATATCATATATTAAATGTATATAACATACTACAACAACTGCAATACGCCGATCTCTCACAATGAGAGCTTTCCTCTGTCTTGACAGATCCTTTAGAATTGTTTGATTCTGTTTTGTGTTGTCTCCCTTTTCCTTCTACAATGTCAACCTCTGATTTGTTAGAGGAATGGAAACATTTCAAACTCACCGCAGAGGAAGAGAACATTACCATTAATGTTGATGCACCTGCTTCTGTGGATATCAGTTCCAAAATCGATAAGATTCTGGTTGGCAAGCTCTTCGTCAAGAGACCCATCTCTTGCCCTGTGATGAAAAACACGATGAGGAATGCATGGAAACTAGAAAACAATGCCTTTGAAGTTGAAAGCATTGGGTGGAACATTTTCCTATTCACTTTTGATCGTGTTCTAGACAAAAATAGAATCTACCAAACTGGTCCATGGAGTTTTGATAAGTCTGTGATCATCATTCAGCCACCACCTATGATTTGTCCTTCCGAACTGAATTTCACGAATTTGTCCATCTGGGTCCGTTTTTTTTTATCTTCCTTTGGCGTGTTCAACACAGTCGCTGGCTATTCGATTGGGAAATGCCTTGGGTGGCTTTGAAGCTACAGATTGTGATGGTTGGAGCTCCAACTTAAGAGTCCGAGTTTCTTTAGATATTTCAAAGCCTCTCTGTCGTGGAATCAAATTAAATTTGGATGGTCCTATGGGTGGAGCTTGGATTCCAATCCAATACGAACGATTGCCAGACTTCTGTTATCACTGTGGTAAATTAAATCATGTTCTTAAAGAATGTGATGGTTACTTTTCTAATGCAGGGCAATCTTCTACTCGTTCTAAGCACCAATACGGGGCCTGGCTTCAATATCAAGGCGTTTTCAAACATCCTATTTCCTCTACCAGGCAAAATGTGGGTGATTCCCATGGAAGCTCTGACACCTCTTCAAAACCTTCCAATTCAAGTCCTGCTATCTCCGGTGCCTTCTCCGGCAACTGCTCTGCCCATCGCTTCTGTAACGGAAATTCCAGATTTGCAGGCAGTTACCAAATCGGGAGTTTTTACTACAAACGAGTCATTTATTGCGGCTTTAAAGGGACCTCTTCAACCATCATTCCAGCAGGAAGTTATTTTTGGGAGAATAAAGTCATTAATTCTGGCATTGATTCTCTCTCAACTCCAGCATTATAGCAATCACCATTAATGCAGTCATCCCACACAACACCAATGGATCTCAGCCCGAATTTTTCTGGCAATGTGAGGAAGTGGAAACAAAAGGCACGGGCCGGCCCGTCCAGCCCATTGATTACTGACAAAGGCAAAGACAAAATCTTAGCAGGCCCAAAATGAAAGGCCCCACCTCGGGTTTTCAATCCTCGAAAGAAACAGAAGATACCATCTCCTATGGCGAATCCTATCCCAATCAATGATTCTCAATCGGCGAAGGTTGCTGAGCAGCCTCGCCGAACGCCATGAAAACCATCTGCTTGAATGTTCGGGGATTGGGGGATCCTCGAACTTTCCGAGTCATTAGTGATTTCTTATATCACGAAAATCCCTCGTTCTATTTCTTATGGAGACAAAATGAAATGAGCGTCTAACTAATAAATTAAAAAACACGCTCAATTTTCATGGTTGTTTAATGGTTAATGGTGCTGGTCTTAGTGGTGCTCTTTGCTTGCTTTGGAAGAATAATACTGCAGTTACTATTCGTTCCTACTCTCGAACCACATTGATTGTTTCATTCAGTTTGATGATAAATATTGGTGGTTTACAGGCTTTTATGGTCACCCAATAACTCATAAATGCCATTTGACTTAGGAGCTACTAAAACAAATCTACAACAATGATGATTCTCCTTCGCTTATTGGAGGGGATTTTAATGCCATTTTATGGCGTCAAGAAGCTTCAATCATTTCTTGTTATGATTCCTCTCAAATTGCAGCTCTTAGGAGAGTGATGGATTTCTGCTCTCTTACAGATTTGGGATTCAAAGAAGTTAAATATACATGGTGTAATAATCGTTTTGCAAGGGAACCAGAATTGGAAAAGATTGGATCGCTTTCTATGTAATGATTCTTTCTCTTCATCCTTCCCGACGGCTTTTGTACAGCATTTCCCCTAGTCCAAATCGGATCATTGTGCAATCTGCTTGCATATTCGGCCTCCTCTTCCCCGCGTGCAGAAATGTCACAAGCCTTTTCGTTTTGAAGAATGTTGGGCTTCAAATCCTGCTTGTGAGCAACTGATATCAGATTGAGGGAGATGGTCCACCTCAGATCAAGCCTATACATTCTCCGATAGTATCCATGCTTCGTCTTTGGTCCTCCGTAGCTGGGGACGTTCAAACATTACGGAACTTTTCCATCAAATAAAAGTTCAGAAATCAGCCATTATGGAAGCCTATAATAGGCCCCTTCCTCTTGATTTCTCTATTATTCATGCTCTTGAGAATGATATTGCGGGCCTTCTGGAATTAGAGGAGATTTTTTGGAAGCAACGGTCTCGAGAAGATTGGCTTAAATGGGGAGATAGTAATACCAAGTGGTTTCATAAAAAGGCATCTATGTGCAAAGCTTCTAATACAATTTCTGGAATTGAAAATCTAAGCAGCTGCTGGACTGACGACATGGAGGAGGTTGAACACTGTTTTATTGATTTATTTCCAATCCATCTTCACTTCTTCTAAGCCATCCATTATGGGCATAGATGTCATCACGAGTTTAATTCCCACCACAATCACTACAGAGATAAATTTAAGACTTTTACTGCCTTTTTCAAGGGAGGAAATTGAACGCTCTATTAAGCAAATGTTTCCAACCAAAGCACCTAGACCAGATGGTTTTCCTGCTCTTTTCTATCAGAATTACTGGCATATAGTTGGTCCCAAAACTGTGGAGGCATGCCTCCATGTTCTCAATAATGGGGGAGATATCCGTTCTTGGAACACCACTTATATTGCACTTATTCCAAAGGTGAAGCAGCCAAGGTTGGTATCTGATTTTTGACCTATAAGTCTGTGCAACGTCTCTTATAAGATTATCTCTAAATCAATTGCAAATCGCCTAAAAAATGTGATTGGTTTAGTAATCTCGGATGCTCCGTCTGCTTTTGTTCCCTCTCGTGCTATATCAGACAATATCATTATAGGGCATGAGTGCCTACACAGTATCAAAACTTGTAAGTCTGGAAAAGATGGCATTGCTGCACTTAAATTGGACCTTAGCAAAGCATTTGATCGCGTTGAATAGCTATATCTGGAATGTTTGATAAGGCAGATGGGGTTTGATGAGAGATGGATTCAGCTTCTCCTTCACTGCATTTCTACGGTGCGTTTCTCAGTTCTTTTAAATGGCATTCCAAGAGGCTCTTTCCATTCTTCAAGATGAATCAGACAGAAATATCCACTTCCCCCTTATCTATTTCTTATTTGTGCTGAAGGTCTTTCTGCTTTATTAAACCATGCAGCTAGGATGGGGCACATTACAGGTATTACTTTTGATGACTCTGGCCCTTCCATTTCTCACCTCCTTTTTGCAGATGACAGCCTCATTTTCTTGAGAGCTTCAGAATCCGAGTGCCTTACATTACGTAATCTGCTGGATACATATGGAAGCCCTCCTTTTCTCTCCTAATGTCCATCCAGCTCGGCAGCAATATCTCCAAAGCATTCTCCATGTTATATTGGTGGATCATTTTGGGAATTATTTAGGTCTGCCATCTCATTTCACTAGGAGAAAAGGAATGGATTGGTGCTTCCTTAAAGAGGATATGGAAAACCCTTCAAGGCTGGAAAGGTTCTTTATTTTCAATGGGGGGAACAAAGGTCCTCATTAAAAGCGTGGGACAGGCCATTCCTGCTTATGCTATGAGTGTGTTCAGGCTCCCCAAAGGCTTTTGTGATGATATTACACAAATGTTTGCTCGATTTTGGTGTTGATCTACGAATGAACACTGAAGGCTTCACTGGATGAGTTGGGAGAAAATGTGCTATCCAAAGGATTATGGTGGTTTAAAATTTTCGTGACTTGGAAGACTTCAACAAAGCTCTAGTGGCCAAACAAGTTTGGCGAGTACTACAATATCCTAATCTTCTAGTATCTCGTGTTCTCAAGGCTAAGTACTATAAAAATACGTCTTTCATACAAGTTACAAAAACCACTATTTCTTCATACTTTTGGCGAGATTTTATTTGGGGGAGAGATCTCCTTGTAAGCGGATTGCGGCTTCGGGTTGGAAGGGGATCATCTATGGATGCTTATTCTGACCCATGGCTTCCAAGACCCACCACTTTTAAACCAATTTCGGTTAATACTGGGATCTTGATATTAAGGTGGCAGATTTAATTAACCAAACAGGGGAATGGGACAGTCACCTGGTCTCATCTTTCTTCTGTGTTGAAGACAAGGAAATCATCCTTTCTATTCCTATTAGTCCTTGCATTTTACAAGACTCATGGCTATGGCATTATGACAAACGTGCGAGGTATAGTGTTAAAAGTGGATACAAACTTCTTATGCATCAGAAATCTTCTATGCTTTCTACCAGCTATGGCTATACTGGAGATCAATGGAAATCTATTTGGGATCTCTCAGTTCCAGCCAAGGTTAAAATTTTTTTATGGAGGGCAGCACATGACCACATTCCCACAGTTCAAAATCTATATACTAGAGGGGTGGATGTTGTACCTGTTTGTCCTCTATGCCTCAAGAAATGTGAGAGTACCACCCATGCTCTCTTTCTCTATTAACGCACAAAAACCATCTGGCGGATCCTTTTCCCAGTGATTTCTCCTATTCCTGCACATCCAGATCTCAAATTTTTTTATCATTGGTTTGCTATGATGAAAACACTAGAATCCAAAGATCAAAATCTTGCAACACTTACATGTTGGACTATCTGGACAGACCATAATTCTTTTCTTCATGGAAAGCAAATTTCTCCTCCTGGCATAAGAGGGGAATGAATTCTAAATTACCTCAACCAATATGAGCAAGCTAGGATTAAGTTACATACCGCTAACAGGAGTATCGATACTTCTCAAGCCCACCAACAATGGCGACCTCCGGCGGAAAATTACTTTAAATTGAACACCGACGCGGCCTGTAGACCAAATTTATCTTCCATCGGAGCTGCGCTTCGTGATTCAAATGGTTTCCTTATTGTGACAACAATGATTCAACATCCTTCTCCCCTGTCTCCTCTATTGGCGGAAATTTGGGGGATTTTGGAAGGCATAAAATTCGCTGTAGCGGTGAACTGCACCCATTTGGAAGTGGAATCTGATTCCCTTGAAGCTATTCGGTTGATCAGAGACGAAATATCCACCATGGGAGATGAGCTAGGCTGGGTGTTGGAGGTGAAATCCCTAGCTTCTTCCTTTCAATCGATTTCTTTCCATCATGCTTCAAGGACATGCAATCTAGTGGCCCACTCTTTGGCAAAATGGGGTATAGGTTCTTCTTCGTCCACGTGTTTTTGGATGTCAAATTTTCCAATTTGGCTTTTGAATGCTGTCCAAGGGGATTTCCCCTTAATTGATGCCCCAGTAGCTTAATTTAATATAACTACTTTCTTAAAAAAAAAATTATATATAACATACGTATTGCACATACACTCATATGAGCATTGTATTAGATGTATATCATATATATATTGCAAGTACATCAGACACTCATATCAGTAATATATTAGATGCATATCACATACATATATATAAGTAGTCAGATACATTACAGATATATATCATTGCGGTAAAGTTATTATTTTAAAATTGGACCTCCATTTTTTGTTTTAAAGTGTTATATTTGAAAACACTAAATGTGGTTGCTATTTTGCTAATTTTACTAAATGTTTTTTTTTGTTGAAAAGTTTTATGAATTCTAAAATTTATTATATTTGTTACCATTGCACATAAGTCATATTAAAATCAAGTTAGGAAAAAATATAAAATAAAGTTAGGAAAGAACTTAACCCCGTCAATCCATGATTCCTTGCGTATGTTCGGGTATGGGGGAAGTGCGCATACCCCCGATATAAGGGATAAAGGTCAAAGGGCAACTTTTAGGTAATAAAAAATAAAATAAAATAAAACAAAATAAAATTAGAAAAAAAACTTGGACTCCTTGGCCGTAACGAGCACCGTGCTCATTAGACTTAGGTGGGTAGAAGACAAGTGTAGGGCTATTTCTTTATTTTTTCTTTAATTATTTTAATAAAACTTATAATCTCATCAAAATCTCTTTTAGATTTTTTTTAAAAGTGTGTAACGATTCATCTTTTTTTTTTCTCTCTCCCTACAACTTCTCACCTCGTTTTTCTATCTTCTTGGTCTCTATTTTTTTTCTCAACTTG